CCATGAGGGTGTGGCCATCCTGGGTGAGGGGCTGATGGCTGTTTGCAGGCTGGCAACAGCCCCCAGCCACCCAAGCTCCCAGTGGAGGCTGGCTGGAAGCAGGTATCTGGAATTTATTTAGCTTCTATAATTGAAACTTAGAGTCCTTGAGTGGAGGCCACAGCTGGCTCAGGGCAGGTGGGAAGCTTGGCTTCCTCCATTGCCCAGGCAACCAAGCCTCCTGCTTGCTCTAGCTCCATAGCTGCCGGCCGCCATCTTGGTTGGGTTAATTTGCATATAGTCGCTCTGATTGGTTGGTGGGCATGGCTTAGGGCATAGCAAAGGTATGGTCAATTAGCATATTTGTTTTTTATTAGTGTAGATTTTGTCAAGCCACCCATGCTAAAAGCTACTACCAAATGAGAAGCCTTATTCTGAAAAGCCTTGTTCTGAAAAGAACTATGGTGCTAGCTATATCAGAGGGTCACCAGACCTGGGGTGCAATGGGAATCCCCACATGGGCCATTATATAGCACATGGACCACAGTCAGAGGGGGGCCTGCAAAGAGCTCCTTGAGAGTTTTGGGAATTTGGGTGGAAATCCTGTGAGTAAAACATTTTCGACAGAACTGTATTTGCTTCAAAGTGTTTCGTCAGAAGCGGTTGAGAATGATTCATTGGAACTTTAAATCTACAATTTTTAAACTCTTTTATCTACTAGAGTATCATTAGAAATAGGATTGACACTAACATTTCCAAATCTGTTGTTTCTTACCTGAGAATGAGCCTTTTATTCTAGGCTTTTCCATCCTGTGGTAGTGACTACTACTTCTGAGTTGTCCCATACAGTGCCTCTGACATTCTATGTCTTTCGGTATCTAAAGAAATGCTTTTTAGGTAATTGCTATACATGTCTTTTTTAAAAAAAAATATGTATTTATTTGGTAGGGATTTATTTGCATAAGAACAAGATGCTAAAACCTTAAAATAGTTTTTTCTTATAACGAAGTAAATACATGAGCCTTGGCTGGTAGGACTCGGTTGGGCGTCATCCTATGCACCAAAGGTCACTGGTTCAATTCCTGGTCAGGAACATGCCTGGGTTGTGGGCTCAGTCCGCAGTAGGGGGCATACAGGAGGCAGCCAATCGTTGTTTCTCTCTACCTCCCTTTCTAAAATCAATAAAAACATATTTTTTTAAAAAAGAAATAATACATGCCCTGTATAATTTTCTTTACCCTGCACAGATAGGCCAGAAATACATAGTACTTTAAGCCAGGTTACATTATAACAAATTCCATTATTAGCACAATTAAAATTAATTTAATTTTACTTTACTTTGTTTACAGAGGGAGTAAAAGCCACGTTGGAACTTAGTATCTCTTGTGAATCTCATGACTGGAGTGCAGTTTCTAAGACACAATTTGAGCCCTGGCTGGGTGGCTCAGTTGATTGAAGCATCCTCCCATATACCAAAAAGGTTGCAGGTCAATTCCCGGTCAGGGACCGTACCTAGGTTTTGGGTTCTATCCCTGTCGCATATAGGAGGCAACTGATGGATGTTTCTCTCTCTCTCTCTCCCTCTCCAACAAAAACCATCATGATTTGATCTTGGGTTGCCATACGAAATTTAAAAGGTCTTTGACTATATTCCATTTGAATCCAGGTTTTATGTTGAGAGATTTATTTAAGCTTTTGTATGTTTTTCATTATTATTGCTTATAAAGGTTTCTTTAAAAAGTAGCTTCAAATATTTAAAGCACACAATCGGATGAATTTTGACATGTATATATAAGTATACAGATATGAAACCATCCCCATAATCAGGATGGTGAACCTTTCCCTCACTCCCAAAGTTTTCTTTGCTACTGTGTAACCCCTCCTTGTCCACCCTGTGCCCCTTACAGGTAACCACTGGTCTGCTGGTTTGCTGTCACTATAGATTAGTTTATCCTTTTTTAGAATTTTATATAAATAGAATCATACTGTCTTTTTACTGTCTGGCAATATTGATGTATATCCCTTTAGTTCCAGTTCGGACATCATAAGAGATATTCTTGAAGAAGAGGAAGCCTGGGAAGCATCACATAAGTGAGTTCTCGTAATTATTCTGTGTGCATTTTGACTGAAAAATTACAATTCTATACAGTTGATTTTCAAACAAAAGAATGTTTGTGCTCTCTGATTTAAGAAAGGAATAATTCATACACCTCCAGATAAAGATTTCCAGTTTATTACTTGTTTCTATATATTTCTGCTTATAAATGGAATCCCAAAGTAATAACTCTGAATATTTGTCAGGAGTTGTTTTTCTAAAGACAAATTGTTCCAATAGGTGATTATAGTTTGGCCTTAAGCACTGGCTCCAGAGTGTTCAGTGTAGAATAAATGCACTTTTACTTCTCCTGTAACACTTACGAATCTGCTAAGAAACGAGACTTTGGGGTGGGGGTGGGAGGCTATTCCACTTCCCACTGGTAGGTAAGCAGGAAAAGGACAGTGCCAAAAAATAATACATTTTCATTAATCTCCACCTACAGGAGTCACCTGTAGTACAGCAGGGAAAATTTACGATAATTTCATGATCGCATACCTCCCATAGGCCATTAGAATTGCCTAGCAGCAGTTCTCCTGTGCCTGCGATCACTTCTTTGTCCTGTTCTTCACAAGGATTATTTGAAAACTCAGCTTTTTTCGGCGGCTCCATCCCCCGAGCTGAAGACCTGGTTCTTTATAAGAGAAAACCAAAGCCATTATAGTGGGATCTTCATCTCTCCAAACATATAAATCTGCCTGCATTTGTACAGATTCAATCCTCATTTCCTCTTTCTATAATAAAGGGATGTCCTAACTCCTATTGGAGGCGAATTCCTTCTCCCTCATCCTTCTCTCTTGTCAGGAACTTGGCTGTGTCCCTTCCCTCTTGTTTAGGCAACCTTTCCTCTCAACTGTAATTTTTTGTTGGGTTTCCTGCATGCTCAAATCTTTCTCATCCTAAAACCAGCCAACCACATAGCCAACAGACAAAAACACCTTACTCAGCCTCATCTCGCTCATTCTCATCCTCCGGCTACTATCGTGCCTCTCCTTCCTTTCTTAATAGATTATCTCTACTTGTAGTCTCCTTTTCCTTATTTCCCACTTACTTGCTCTTCAACATTTTCAGCCATTCCCATCATTCTGACATAGCTTTCACTCAGGCCATTGAAGACGCCATGTTGCTAAATCCAGAGGACATATTTTAGACCTTATCTCTCTTGACTTCTTAGCAGTGTTTGCTTCTATTGACTTCTTCACCTTTCTTAAAAGCCTCTCTTCTTTGGCTTATGAGACACAATAACCTGTTTTCCTTTTGTTCAACTAGATCAGCGGTTCTCAACCTGTGGGTCGCGACCCCTTTGGCGGTCGAACGACCCTTTCACAGGGGCCGCCTAAGACCATCCTACATATCAGATATTTACATTACGATTCATAACAGTAGCAACATTACAGTTATGAAGTAGCAACGAAAATAATTTTATGGTTTGGTCACAACATGAGGAACTGTATTTAAAGGGCCAGAAGGTTGAGAACCACTGAACTAGATCATTAGTTGTTGATGATTAAGATTAAATTGATCTCCTAATAAATTTATCTCTCCTGCCAGCTCCTCTCCTGAGCCCCAGATACATATATCAACTACCTACTTGATGTCTTTTCTTAGATATTTTTAAGACTCTTCAAAATCAACATGTGCAAAGCTGAACACTTGACCTTATCTACTCTTCTACACCCCCCTATATCGTTTTTAAAGCAAATTAAAAACATGATCCTCTTCTGTTGTTCCCTTTCAGCCAATTTCTTACACCCTCCCCTCGCCCTTACAATATCTGTCATTCTTGATATCCTGTTTTATAGTGCCTCTGTGATCACTCCTATAGATATTACTTCTTAAATAGCTCTGGGATCCATTCATTTATTTCTACCCCCCTCATCACCCTAGTTCATGCTACCATTGTATCTTGATTGGGCAATAAATTTGTCTATCCTTATTTTCTGGCTTCTTTACAATCTCATCTTCCATATTGCAGCTAGAGTGACCTTTGTAAAATGAAAATCTGATCACTGTAACTTGTCTCTCTACTTGAAAAATAGCAGTAGCTTCTTCTTCCTTTTAGGATTGAGAAGGGACTCTTTAATATGCTTGAAAGGTCCTGCATGATCTGGTCTTCTCCAGTCTTCTGTTTTATCACACACCTGTGCGTTTCCTTTGTTCCTCTGATACAGGTGTCTCTTCATGCCACATACCCACTCACCGCAGGGCCTTTGAACACGCATGTCTCTACCCAGAATGTTCTTCTCATCTTCCTTCTTGTTTACCTTTACCCTTCAGGCCTAAACTCGAGACCTGCTTCTCATGGAAGTCTTCTCTGGCCTTACCTTCTGGATCATGACCCACATGATCTAACCCACAATAAATACTTTACGTGTGTGCTCTCATTTAAATAACATAACAATACTATGGTGTATGGTTATTCCTTTTGATAATGAGGTAACTGAAGCTGAAAGAGGTAAGTATCCAGCCCAATGTCACTTAGCAGTAAGTGATGAGTGATGGAGCTGAGAGTAGCTTAATGTGTCAAAGTCAACACTTTCAACCTTTAAGCTATACTATCTTTCCAAAGGAGAGGTTTGCTGTGCTATTGACGTTTTGTAATTTCATAGCTGAGTCGCTAGGAAAATGGAAAAGTGTGGTGTATCCAAGGAACACAACATGAGTAGGTTTATCAGACTAATGAGATATTTGATGGTTCAAACTAGTGTTGCATGAAAGTTTGAGATTTTGGCTGCATTGCTTTCAGCTAAGCATTATTTAACTTTGCATTCTGGGAGAGGAGGCCACTCCTTTACTAATCATGTTCTCTTTTATTGGGAATCATCCTGATACCAACAGCTATGACAAGCTGTAGCCCAGAATTCCTGAGCCCAAGTTCGTTTTTAATAATGGTGACCTCTTAAAGTCATTATTGATAAGAAAACACTTAGCAAACAAACCCCATCACTTGACAATAAATGTTAAAGCTGGAAAAGTGTAAGCGCTCCTCTAGTCCAGTCCCCTCATTATGTGGAGAAGGAAGCTGGGTTCCAGAGAGGTAAATTGACTAGGTCGAGGCCCACAGCTAGCTCGTGGCACTGCCAGGATCAGAATCCAGGACTCTTGACTTCAGCTGAGTGCACAATAGTGTAAATAAGCTTATGCTATAATGTAGCTTTATTTATTTGTTTTTTGGATTTTTTCTTTAGAGGAGGGGAGAGAGAAACATTGATTTATTATTCCATTTATTTATTCTTTCATTGGTTTCTTCTTGTATGTGCCCTGACTTGGAATTGAACCTGCAACCTTGGGACGATGCTCTTAACTGACTGAGGTACCTGGCCAGCGCCCCATATGTAGCTTTAGAGGCAGAATCAGGAAAAGCCTCCACAACTTTACTTTTCTTTTTTTAAAAAATATATTTTTATTGATTTCAGAGAGGAAGGGAGAGGGAGAGAGAGAGAAACATCAATGATGAGAGAGAATCATTGATCGGCTGCCTCCTGAACGCCCCCTATTGGGGATCAAGCCCACAACCTGGGCATATGTGCCCTTGACGGGAATCGAACCTGAGAACCTTCAGTCTGCAGGCCCACGCTCTATCCACTGAGCCAAACCGGCTAGAGCCACAACTTTACTTTTCAACAAAATGTAGCAATTCTATACGTATCTGTGTTATCCTTCTAAGCATATTTTGTTATAAATTAATATGTTAATTATATTCCCCAGGGCAACCACTAAGAAATTTAAAATATAATAAAAGAAATGCAGTGGGATTAAAGTGGTACACTAGAAAATATTTAACACCAAAGAAGGCAGAGAATAGAGGAACCACAAAAATGACATAAGCACTATAGAAAACAAATAGCAAATGACACTCATAAATCCTGCCTTGTCAGTAAATACATTAAGCATAAACGGATTAAACCTTCTATTAAAAGGCAGAGATTGGCAGAGTGGATTTTTTAAGAAAAAACATGATTCAACTATATGCTTTCCACATGAGATGCACTTTAGATTCAAAGATAAATAAATTGAAAGTAAAAGCATAGAAAAAGATACACCATGCAACAATAACCAAGAGAAAACTGCCATTGCTAATTAATATTAGACAACATAGACTTTAAGACAAAAATGTAACTAAAGACAAAGAGATATTTTATAATGATAAAATGATCCATCAGGAAGATACAGTAATTATAAGCATATATAAATCTCAGTACATAAAAGCAAAAAAGATGAAAAAAACAAATCCCAAGAAACCCCTACAAGTTAGATGAGAAAAATGATGGAAAAAGAAACCACCCAGGGGCAGCAAGGAGCAAAAGCCCATCAACAAATTATTGCCGATGGGCCTGGCCTCCTGTTTGTGGGTGTAGAGCCAGGCAAGCTGAACGCAGAGTGGGCCTGTGGACTTGCCTCCTGACAATGATCGTATTCATCTGAGGCCTGGCCTATAGTGGAAAGAAGGATGATTCCTTGAGACAAAAGAACCTGGGAAGCTCCCTGCCTCTGCAAGTCTCGGGCATGTATACAGGCTCCAGTCTGTCTGTTCATGTTCCCTTTAAAGTGTGGTGCCAAGAACTGAATGCAGTAATTGTTACAATGAAGAACTCATCCAGAGTCATCACTCTGATTGTTTTGTCTTGCTTATTTGACTTCACAAAATCTTAGGTTTAATCTGTTTGCTTATTGACCGCCTTTCACTGTCCATTCCTTCTGAATCTAGTGTCCCTCTACTACCATTAAACCATGGCTTCCTCTCCTGAATCTGGGAAATCATCTCTGGGCACATTTATTATCCTTCCTACTTTTCCTCTTCTAAGATTCAGCTCATGCCTCTTGTCTATGAACACACATTGAGTCGCCCTTCTATTTAAGTAGAAAGAAACCAAAGAGTTTTCTCTCATCTGGTGACAAAGCCAGAGACCTATCCTTCTTAATAGACCTTTATCCAGAGACAGAAATAGATTTATCCCAAGGAAGTTGGCATGTTGGCCAATATGTTTTTCTTTCCTTTGTTCCATTATTTCTAAGAAGTAAATACTAATAAAATCAGCAAAAATTACTTCTGAGTATTAGAGAAGGTAAATATCATTTAACTAATATCTCTCAAATTCCTAATATGTGCTACATTGTTATAAATTAATATGACAGTGGTACTTGTTATATTAGGTACTTTCATTTTCATTTTATTATTTAATCCCTGTGATTGCACAGAAGAGAAGAAACTTTACTCACTGTGTTTTGTGAGAAATCTGAGCCCAGAAGGATGGTGAATTGTCTTGAATCTCCTAAGCCTAAGCCTAGTGCTTCTCCCACTGTGCTACAGCTGTGAGCTGGCACCACATAGTAATTCTCTGGACTTAGTTCTTCATCAGTTTACACCCGGTAATAAGGAGTCTGGTTCCATTATTTTGTTTGCTGGCAACTTTTAGGTCTTAACCCTTCCTCTTCCTCTTCTGTCCCACATCTGGACAAGCTGATAGGAAATCCTGGGTGCTCCCTCCTTTGGTCCTGGCAAACTGTGCAAGTCCCTGTCTGTCTATGGGAACCCTCTCTCTTATCCCACCCAAGGCAGTTTCCATTTTCAGACCAACTTTGGAAGCCTGCCCTGCTCTCCCCAGAAAAGCCTCTTTTGTGAGTAATAAACCTTTCCATACTGTGATTCTAGTACCAGTTCTGATTTGGGGGAGGTGGTGTTTTCCCAAGCTAAAAAGCAATTCTAGAATACCAGCTGGGTGTCCTATAATTCAACTCAATTTTTTAAAATACGTTTTTTTTGGTTTTTAGAGAGAGAGGAAGGGAGAGGGATAGAGAAAGAGAAACACCAATGAGAGAGAAATATCCACCTAGGAGTGGCATTCATTACAGGCTTGTATAGGAAGTGTAAGTTCATCCTATAAGAAACTGCCAAATTGTGTTCCACCAGCAATGTATGCGAGTTCTAGTTGCTTCATATCCTGGCCAGTACTTGGTTATTGTTTTACTTTTTATTTTATTAAGCCATTCTAATAGATATGCAGTATTTTATTGTTTTAATTTGCATTTCCCTAAGGATTAATGATGATGAACTTCCTTTCATGAATGCCAAATCATGGAGGCTGGTATTTTATCCTTGGGTTTTTGATGAAATGCCTCCTCAAATCTTTTGCCTTTTTTTCTGGGTTCTCTTCAGTCTTCCTGCCCTGCTCCCCACCTTTCTCCTGAGCACCTGGAGGAAGTGCCTGGAAGAGAGCCTGCAAGTGTCTGTGGACCCCCTGTGGCAGGGCCTCAGTACTAGCCCCTATCTCAGAATCCTTCAAATGAACTAACAAGAAAATAGTGACAAACTCCTAGATGGAGAGCAGGCTGACAGCTCTCAGGGATGAAGGAGGGGTGGAGGGATTGGGATAAACAAAACAAAACAGAACAGAAAAACTCATGGCCAGGGACAACAGTGTGGTGATTGCCTGCTGTGTAGAGGGCAAGAATGGAGGGAAGTGGAAGAAGGGATACATGGTGATGAATGGATGGAGACTTGATTTGGGGTGGTGAACATACAATACAGTGTCCAATGATGTGTTGTACAATTATGCACCTGAAACCTGTATATTTTTTTTAACCAGTGTCACCCAGATAAATTCAATAAAAAGGAAAAAATGTCAGCTGACAGCCACCTCTTTCTCAGTGCTCTGCCAGCAGTGAGGGGCTTATCTTTCTTTGGAAATTTGTTTTCATGCCTAACAGTCTCAGCTCTCTGATAGGATCAAGAAAAGTTATGATTATTTTGGACTATCTGGCTTTGTTTGTTATTAGAATGGGGGCAGTTTAGGGGTTTTTTTTTACAGCTTTCTAACATGTTAAGTAGAAGCTTAAACTGTTAGATTTTGATTCAGAAGAAAGAGGTTCAGTTCCTGGCTCTGTCACTTATGTCTGTGATCTTTGGTAATCACTGTTTTCTCAGTTGTAAAATGGGAATAATAATTATCATATTATTTATAATTATAGTATCTACACTAATAAAAGACAAAGATGCTAGTTGACTGTACCTTCACTACGCCCATTAGCCAATCAGAAGAGTATGCAAATGAACCCAACAAAGGTGGCCGTTAAATTTGCATACTGCAGGCAGGGTTGGCAGTGCACCACACTGCCCGCGGGATCTGGGATTCGAATCCGTGACCTGGCAAGGGAGTAAAGTGGAGGGGAAGGGAGAGAGCCCAGGTGGCAGAGAAGGGAGGGATCCGAGGCCGAAGCGGCGAAGGGAGGGAGCGAGGCAGCGGAGCAGGCTCCCTTCTCCGCTTCGCTCCAGTCTCAGGAAGCCCTATTCTTACAGGAATAGGCCCGAGGAAGCCCTATTCTTGCAGGAATCTTCCTGCAACGGGCCTCTAGTAATATATAATAATAATAATTATTATTATTATTTTAACAGATTAGTCAGTGGAGTAGAGGGCCATTTAGAGGTTTAAATGAAATGATGTCTGTGAAAACACTTGTAAACTAGAAACTGCTATAAATAATAATGATCATTATTTCCTAAGATGTCAATTCTATTTTACTCTTTTCAGAAACGATCTTCAAGACACAGAAGCAAGTCCAACACAGAATCGTCGGACAAGACCAGAAAGTGCTGAGATGGAGCCGAGAAATAAGAGGAATAGAAACTAGTGTGGCTTTGGCGACTTTCCCAGGGCAGTGATCCGAATATGGTACTTTCTGTTGCCATATAGATTTCATATTTATAATGCCCATGTAAGGGTGTACATTCTAAATATTTTTAACCAACTTTTCATTCTTTTCTGTCTTTCTTGGGGGAGGGGGTAGTTACAAAACATCCTCACTTGGTCAGTTACCTTTTGCTAGGATATCTTTCTCTCAAATACTGACTTCCCATGTTCACCAGCTTTGCACAGTACACAGGCTTTTTTTGCAAAGGTTTTCTTGTTTGGCTTTGTTTCTAAATTTCAGAATGTCCTTAACGCATTCTCCTTCTCTTCCATGGAGAAACCCACTTCAGAAAGGATTCTTCAACCTTTTACTACAGGAGCAGTCGAGGAGTTAAGGCCTCTATTTCTAGAAAGGCAGAATGTCATAACTCACATCCTTGGTGTCAGCATCCTTGGTGTGCGTGTGTGTGTGCCTGTGTGTGTGCCTGTGTGTGTGTGTGTGTGTGTGTGTGTGAGAGTCTGAATGCCGTCATGCCCGTTATGGCAGTTAGTGATATGGTTGTTGCCTGAGTTTAAGGTAGTCAGTTGTTAGACTCATGTCTTACACGTTATTCAGATGTTAGTCACAAACAATAAATGAAAAACACTGGGCACAGTCTTCAGAAATGGCAGTGACAAACGGTTATTGTTAGTCTTTCTTTTCACTTGGGTAAATTGAATTTTTAACACTTTGAATCCTAGCCATTAAAAGAATGCTGCAATAAACGGATTTTGTAAATGACTAGACTCTACATCAATTTAAAATCATGTGCTTGAAACAGTATGTTGAGTATAAGCTACAAATCATCCAAGGGGTTGGTCAGAAATGATCTCTGTGTGAAATGTGCACCGGTCCCCGTTGCTTCCAGAGTTCCTCAGGCCTCTCTGGCGTCTCAGTCAGTCTTCACCCGCTGCCACCACCCAGCCCAGATACATCAGCTTTCCAGAGACAAGCTAGCGAAGGTGGCAGTGTTAAGACAACAGATGTATGAATGTTCCAGGATGTTTGTGACTTCCGCTTTCCAGACAGTGTCTCCGTGGACTTTGGCATTTTGGTATGCTCTCAGGTTTCTGGGTAATGTGTGGAATCTCATTATAACTTAGAGTTAAGCGTTTTGACACTTAAATGGCCATTTGTTTTCTTTATGAGTTCCCTGAGCTTCAAATGATTGCATAATAATTTGTCATAGTCACTTAATCTAAAATGGGGGGTGGGAAATGTCCGGCCCTGCCAAGGCATTAGGTGTGACATTAATTAAATGTTTGCCCAAATAATAGGCTAATTTTTAAGTTGATAATTGTGTATGGCCTGAGAATAAGGTTATAAATATCCAAATGGCCCTTGGCAGAAACAAAGTTCCCCACCCCTGACCTAAAATCATGAGTGTGCACTAGGGAAACTAAAGGCGGCAGCACCCACTGAATGCATCGAAGGATCTCGGGGGCAGTACGTGAGCAATGTCAGCGTGGGCTTAACATTGATGTGATATTTACGTCTGAGTTACCAGAAATTATGCTAAAAGGAAAAGTGCTTGTATCATTAAAAAGTACACAGTCTGCTATAAATTAAACTGGAAATTATTACTACACTGTTTTCAGCAAAATGAGTTTGCAAGGGAGCAGTGAGAGCCAAGACACGGAGGCAGGCAAGTGAATTCACTGGGGTAATATTTAACTGTCTGCGCAGTGAGGTAGCAGGCAGCATGCTGAGCACTGGCAGTGCAGAGGTGACAGCGGCCATCCGAAACAGCTTTCTCAGTGGGGAGGGGAGGACACATTTGCTCCCCAGGGACATTGGGCAATGTGTGGAGATACTTGGCTGTCACGACTGGGTTTGGGGAATTGGCACTAGTATCAGTGGGTAGAGGCCAGGAATGCTGCTAAATATCCTACAGCTCACAGGCCAATCCCCATGGAGTGTTTGCTGGGCTGCCCTAACAAAGTGCCACAAGAGAACTTTTCCCCTCACAGTTCTGGAGGGTAGCAGCCTAAGATCAGGTTGTCAGTAGGGTTGGTTTCTTCTGGGAGCTCTCTCCTTGGCTCTCACTGGGTCCTCACGTGATCTTTCTTTTTTGTTCTCACATCTGTACCCTAATCTCCTCCTATAAGGACACCAGTCATACTGGACCAGGGCCCATCTATCTAACCTTGTTTTTACCCCAATTACCACTTTAAAGACCCTATCTCCAAATACATTCACATCTGAGGGACTGGGGGTTAGGACTTCAATACATGAGTGGCATTGGGGGCAGGGACCCACAACTTCGCCCACAATAAAGAATTATCCAGTTCATAAAAACGCTGTGGTGCATATATACAATGGAATATTACTCCACCATAAAAAAAGAATGAACTCTTAACCATTTGTGACAATATGGATAGACCTGGTAGCTTTTATGCTAAATGAAATAAGTCAGAGAAAGACAAATACCATGTGATTCTACTTACATGTAGAGTCTAAATAACTAAATAAAAGAACAAACAAAACAGAAACAGACTCATAGATGCAATGGACAAACTGATGGTTGCCAGAGAGGGGAAAGAGGGACCCAGGTGAAAAAGGTGAAGGGATGAAGTACAAGTTGGTAGTTACAAAATAGTCATGGGATGTAAAGTACAGCATAGGGAATACAGTCAGTAATATTGTAATAACTGTATAGTGCCAGGTGGGTACTTGAATTATCGTAAATTATATAATTGTCTAATCAGTATGCTGTATATCTGAAACTAATATAAAATAATATTGACTATCAACTGTAATAAAAAAATTTAAAAAAAAAAGAATTATCTGGTTCAAAATATCATTGGTGCTGAGATTGAGAAATACCCAATGTCAAGGACCTCCCAAGTCTGCTTTAAAAATAAAGGTTAAAGGGCATTTACTGAGCTCTGGTTGTTAACACTTAGCATACATTTAACATTTACACGTTGAAAGGAAGGTATTTTTATGTTTATTAAAGAATAAGGAATTTAAGGTAAGTGTTAAATCCAGGATTAAAACTGACAAGCTTCTGTTTTCACCTTTTAATGAAAATATGATTCTAATCACTAATTGGTTGGTTTTTATTTTTACCTCCTCACTCCCCCGTAGGGTATAACAGCTACTGTGGGTGTGTCACCTCACAACAGTGGTGTGTATGTTTGAGGGCACAGGTAAGCCGCTCTATGTAATTTAGAAAGGACGGGTCTAGATGGTTCTGAGTGTCAGCCCATCCTTTCATCCTCCAATCTCTTCTCTTATACCCTTCATTGAGAATCACTGGTCTAGTTGAAAAAGTAATTCACACACATAGGACATTGTGGGTCACATAGGGAGGGTGGTATGGATTTAAAAACTGACATGTATGGTGAAGATTCATGTCAACAGGGGTAAACAAATAGTGAGCAGAGGACTTTTTTCCTTGTGGCCCTTGGCCCTGTAGAATGAAGAGAAAGCAACTGTCTAGACCGGTGATGGCAAACCTATGACATGCGTGTCAGAGGTGACACACGAACTCATTTTTTGGTTGATTTTTCTTTGTAAAATAGCATTTAAATAAATAAAATAAATATCAAAAATATAAGTCTTTGTTTTACTATGGTTGGAAATATCAAAAAATTTCTATATGTGACACGGCACCAGAGTTAGGGTTTTTCAAAATGCTGACACGCCGAGCTCAAAAGGTTCGCCATCACTGGTCTAGACTATTACACTGATAGAGTGACTGGGTGAACAGAGTGACTGAGTTTTCTTAGAGCCAGGGAAAAGGCAGAAACAGTAGATTACAAAATCCTCAGCACTGGTAAAAATAACAATTCTTTAAAAGAGACACATTTTTTCCTCTTATATGTTTTATATATGCCTAAGCAACCGAACAACTGGTCGCTATGACACGCACTGACCACCAGGGGGCAGGTGCTCAACACAGGAGCTGCCCCTGGTGGTCAGTGTGCTCCCACAGCAGGAGCACCGCTCAGCTGACTGGTGGGCACCAGATGCAGGGCTCATGGCTGGCCGCTGCAGCCTAGAGACCGTAGCAGGGTGGCAGCAAGCCTAGCGTTGGTGGCAGCACAATGGGGCCAGATGAACAGGAGCGGCAGGCGGCATTGGGCTGCTGGTTTCGGCCCAATCCCCGCAGGCTACGCTGAGGGACCCCACTGGTGCACGAATCCATGCACCGGGCCTCTAGTATATATAAAAGCCTAAGCAACCACTCGACCAGTCGCTGTGATGTTCACTGACCACCAGGGGCAGACGCTCAATGCAGGAGCTGCCCCCTGGTGGTCAGTGTGCGCCCACAGCAGGAGCGCCGCTCAGCTGTCCAATGGATACCAGACGCCGCTGGGCTCACAGCTGGTAAGTGCAACTGTGGCCACACGAGCCTCTCCCCACTCCCGAGCCATGGCGGCGGCAGGCACAGTGAGGCCAGGATGAGCGGGAGCGGGATGGCACCGGCCCAGGCTCGGGCTCCTCCCTGGCCCCCTGCCGCTTCGCACACTACTACATCCCTTGGGGGAATGTTGGATGGCCTGGCCTGCAGGGATCCCAAAACTGGCAGTGCGGCATCCCCCAAGCAGTCCTGGATTGCGAGAAGGCACAGGCTAGGCCGAGGGACCCCACTGGTGCACGAGTCCATGCACCAGACCTCTAGTTAATCATGAAATTAGAGGGGGAAATATCAGAGCCATTAAATTTATTATCATTTTGATAATCTTTGATTTTAGTCTTACGGTGTGGAAACAATGAGACTACTTTCCCCGATTTACAGTGTCCCTCATAAAAATTTACTTCTCCCTCTTTCTCCTTCCCTCCTTTTTATCCCTTCCCCCCTTTTTTCCCTTCTACCGTACCTTTCCTTTGCTCTCTCCCATCCCTGCCTTCTCTCAACTATCATGACTTCCTGTCAAGTAGTGTGCAAAACAAAGATAAGCCTTGCCCTAATGGACCTTGTAGACCAGAAAAGGAGATGGACATTAATCACATAATTGTACAAATTACAGTTGTAAGTGCA